ACACTCACCCCCAACTCTTGGGCTACTCTTTTACCAACGAATAGCGGGATTGACCGTCACTTTATAACGCCCCCACGGCTAAAAGGGCGAGCATTTTGGTGTGACGGGGATTCGAACCCAGTGGGTGTGTAGTAACCGTGGGCTACTTGTTAAATATTTTGGTATGATCCTTTATTCAAAAGAAAGGGAAAAACAGGGGGTGTTTTAGTAACCCTGGGCTACTTGTTGACAATTGTGGTAGGATCCTTTATTCAAAAGACACCGAAGAACAGAGAGTGTTTTAGTAACTGTGGGCTACTTGTTAGATATTTTGTTAGCATCATTTATTTAAAAAAAGGGAAGAACAGGGAGTGATTTAGTAACCCTGGGCTACTTGTTGAATATTTTGGTAGGATCCTTTATTTAAAACAAACGGAAGAACAGAGAGTGTTTTGGTAACTGTGGGCTACTTGTTAGATATTTTGGTAGGATCCTTTATTCAAAAGAAACTGAAGAACAGAAATTGTTTTAGTAACCGCGGGCTACTTGTTAGATATTTTGGTAGGACCCTTTATTCAAAAGAAAGGGAAGAACAGGGGTGTTTTAGTAACCGTGAGCTACTTGTTGAATATTTTGGTGTGATAATTTATTCAACAGGTAGGGAAAAAAGAGGGTGTTTTAGTAACCCTGGGCTACTTGTTGAGTATTTTGGTAGGATCCTTTATTCAAAAGAAAGGGAATAACAGGGAGTGTTTTAGTAACCCTGGGCTACTTGTTGAATATTTTGGTAGGATCCTTTATTCAAAAGAAACTGAAGAACAGAAATTGTTTTAGTAACCGTGGGCTACTTGTTAGATATTTTGGTAGGACCCTTTATTCAAAAGAAAGGGAAGAACAGGGAGTGTTTTAGTAACCCTGGGCTACTTGTTGAATAATTTGGTATGATTCTTTAGTCAAATATAGTGAAGAGGGGGTGTTTTAGTAACCCTGGGCTACTTGTTGAATATTTTGGTAGGACCCTTGATATAAAAGAAAGGGATGAACAGGGGTGTTTTAGTAATCGTGGGCTACTTGTTAGATATTTTGGTAGGACCCTTTATTCAAAAGAAAGGGAAGAACAGGGAGTGTTTTAGTAACCCTGGGCTACTTGTTGAATATTTTGGTATGATTCTTTAGTCAAATATAGTGAAGAGGGGGTGTTTTAGTAACCCTGGGCTACTTGTTGAATATTTTGGTAGGACCCTTGATTTAGAAGAAAGGGATGAACAGGGGTGTTTTAGTAACCGTGGGCTACTTGTTGAAGAATTTAGTAAGATTATTTATTCAAAAGGTAAAGAAGAACAGGGATTGTTTTAGTAATCCTTGGCTACTTTTTAGATGTTTAAGTAGGATCCTTTATACAAAAGTTAGGAAGAACAGGGAGTGTTTTTATAACCATGGATTACTTGTTGGATATTTTATAACAACGAAGCTGTCAAGACTTTAAGATATTTTAAACAAGCTAAATCCATTTTGTGACGTATTCTTGTTATCTATCTTACAGTACCATTATAACGTCAGTATATATATATTATATCATTTTAGCTTCAATATATATATATATAAATGAAACAATACAAAAATACGTTCACAAGTATTTTAAAAACTCTTTGTTTCTATTAATTTAAAACAAACAAATAAAAAAACACACACATGCATATTCACTTATTTGTTTTTAATTAAGATTAAAAAAGTTTATAAAAATATTTTTATATTGTTTCCCTTTTATTAATCACCAGCATGAGCAAAAAATATCTGATTCCAATGTATTTATATCACGGGAACGTTAATACTTATATAAATATATATATATTGACAATATAATGGTATCTGAAGATAATAATAATAAGGTAGGCTTAGCTTATTTAAAGTGACTTTATATGATGGGAACGTCAATACTTATATAAATATATATATATGTTCTGACAATATAATGGTATCTGAACATAATAATAAAATAGACTTAGCTTATATAAAGTAAATTCGATGACGAGGAACCCACTCTGAGACTAATATTGGTTGGAGACGGCTTGAATGGGTAATGAGGAAAAACTTTAATATAATGTTACGTCTCCGTTTGTTAATTAACTTTCCGTACCTTCGTTCCGACGAAACTTTAGCGACACAAG